CATGAAGAATGAAACCTTGCAGCACTTAGAGAAAGAATTTGAAATGCAAGCAGATGGGGTGCATTACTTTAAGAATAAAGTATGGATACCAAAGGTTGGTTACCTACGATCAACTATTTTGGACGAAGCCCATCAATCTAGATATTCGATTCACCCAAGAGCAGATAAAATGTATAAGGATCTGAAAGAGTATTATTGGTGGCCAGGAATGAAGAAAAATATTGCTTTGCTCGTAAGCAAGTGCCTGACTTGTGCCAAGGTAAAGGCTGAACATCAGAAACCATCTGGTCTACTCCAGCAACCTGAAATACCACAATGGAAATGGGAGCAAATAACCATGGATTTTGTAACTAAGCTACCCAGAACTGGAAAGGGACATGATACTATATGGGTTATAGTAGACCAACTTACCAAATCAGCTCATTTCATTCCCATTCGCGAAGATTTTAGCATGGAAAGACGTGCATAAATCTACATCAATGAAATAGTTACACGTCATGGTGTGCCTATTTCCATTATTTCGGATAGAGATACACGTTTTACATCGCGATTTTGGCAGTCTCTTCAAAAGGCACTGGGTACGCGCTTGGATTATAGCATCGCCTATCATCCTCAAACAGATGGACAATCGAAAAGAACTATTCAAATGCTAGAGGATATGTTGCGTGCGTGCGCAATAGATTTTGGTGGGAGTTGGGATACCCATCTGCTCCTTGTTGAATTCTCTTATAACAACAGCTATCACACCAGCATACAATGTGCACCGTACGAAGCTCTATACGGACGTAAATGTAGATCGCCGCTTAGCTGGGTAGAGATCGAAAATAGACAGTTGACAATGCCGATATTATTCAGGAAACCACCGACAAGATTTCAATCATCAAGGAGATACTCAAGACAGCAAGAGACCGTCAGAAGAGTTATGCGGATAATCGTAGAAAGCCGTTAGAATTCCAAGTGGGGGATAAAGTACTTTTAAAGGTATCACCATGGAAGGGACTAGTACGTTTCAGGAAGAGAGGCAAGCTGAGTCCCAGATACATTGGTCCATTTGAAATACTCGAAAGAATCGGACCAGTGGCGTACAAGTTGAAGTTACCACAAAATCTAAGCGTCATCCACGATATGTTCCATGTGTCGAATCTGAAGAAATTCCTAACGGATGAAACAAACAGTGTTACCCCTGGATGACGTTCAGATTAACGATCGGTTACACTTCGTCGAAGAACCAATCAAGATACTGGACCGAGAAGTTAAACGGTTGAGGCGCAGTAAAATCCCTATTACTAAGGTCCGCTGGAATGCGAAACATGGCCCAGAGTACACTTGGGAATGAGAAGATTTTATGAAAGAAAAATATCCGCATTTGTTTGCAGAGAAATCCATTGGCAGTATCAGTCGTTAAATTTCGGGACGAAATTTCTCTAACAGGGGGAGACTGTGACAACTGTCAAATTTAAGCTTCCAGGTTAGCTCTTATTAAGTTTATATTAGTGTTATTAAAGATAATTTATAAGATTAAAAGTTAGTTAGATTAGATTGGCCGAAAAATTTCTAGAGTTTCCGGTAGTTGCTTAGAAAGTCCGGTTCCGACCCGTAACTATCTGAAACATCCTATATAGTGCCAAATGCTCCAATTTATACCTAATTTATATAAAACACAAAGTTTTAGTGTTTTAAATATAAAACTTTTTATTTAAATGAATTTAACCAACATGGGTTTATAATTTAAAGAAAAATGTCAAAATTGAGAAAAATGACATTTTAACAATTTTGGGGCTTAAATTTAATTATATATATATATATTGGTCTTGGGCCCCCCATGGCCGGCCACCCCCCCTCCCTCCTAATATCCACATATAAATATCTTTATTTTCTCCATTTACAACTCCTTTTCACATTTCCAATTATGAAACTCCCTCTCTTTCTCTCTCTCTAAACTCAAGAGTCTCTCAAGATCACATTCTTCATCTTTCATACTCCAGCCAATTTCCCATATTTCTCCATCAAAATAGCAAGAATTTTGAAGATATTACATCCTTATCATCATCAATCAAGGTAACAACTTCATCTCCACCATTTTCTTGCAAACTTTGGGGGAAAAACACACTTTTCTTGCATTTTAAACTACCTTCTTCTAACCTCCGAAAATTTCTGAGTTTTAGGAGAGATTACACACCAAAAACACGTAAAAATGTTCATATGATGGTGGTAATCTATGACCCAAACATTAGAACTCAAGAAAATAGGTAAAATCATGTTGCATGTGGGTTTGATTCCTAAAAATATGACATTTTAAGTGCTGACAGATTTCATGCATGTGCATAAATCATCCATTTCTTGCAAATAATATGTTCAAATATCATGAATCTTCTTCTAAAAGTTCATTTATTGAGTTGGGGTTTTAATCCAATTGGTCTCACTCAAAAACATTGAGTTTTGACTCCCCAAATACTCAAAACAAGATGCATGTGCATCTGAGAGTTTTTCAATAAGTAAACCCTACTTTAAACAACCATAACTCTCTAAATAGTCATCCAAATCATTTATTTTTTCTTCTGGAAGTTAATTTAATGAGTTACCTTTCAAATGCCACTGATTTTATTAAAAAATATGGTGATTTGAGGTTTCAACTAATCAAAACAAAATGAGTATGCAATATGTCCAAAACTGACAGATTTGTATATGCATGTTCTAATGACCATATCTCTTTCAAAACTCTATGAAAAAGGATGATTCTTCCTTTGAGAGTTAAATATATGAATTATATTCTGCATACAAGTGGAATCACATTAAAATATGGAGTTTTGACCTCCAAACACCTAAAACACTTTAGGTGTGCAAACTGTGAAACCATCAGTAGGTAGATCCTGCTTTGTGTGTTAACATCTCTTTTATTACTTGCTCTTAGTACATGATTCTTCTTCTGAAATGTTCTTTTATGAGTTAGGGTTCATATAAACCCAGTTTCACTCAAAAATATGAAGTTTTGAGGCATTAACCAATTTAWTAAAGTTAAGTGTGCAATCTGTCAACTAATGACAGATGTGTGCATGTAACTTTATGGTTCCATATCTTCCTCTTAACTCATCCAAAATGAGTGATTATTATCTTAAAAGTTTCATTTAGGTGTTGAGTTTATAATCCAACTGGAATTTCTGCAAAACACTTATTAGAACTCTTCAAATGAGTATTTTACTAACATGGTGTAATCTGCCATACCAATTGTGACATTGTATTGCATAAATTATTTGAACCATTTTTATATGTCCAAAATGCATGAAATTTGGTCACAATGACCA